TGTAATTATCTGTTTATTTGACTGTGTTTCCCAAGAAATAGTTAGCAACTTGAGGGTACACACTAATTTCTTGTGTGGCATCTGGCACAATATCTAGCAACAGGGCTCAACAGGTATTAGAATTAATCAATCTCTCTGAGTCTCAATTTTCTCATCTATAAAATGGAGACAACTGCTTATTGTCTTACAGTTATGGCGATTAGAACTAATAAATGTAATATGCCTACCACAGTGCTGGGTACATGGTAGGCCCTTGATAAATAGTAATTTAAAATTATTAATGGTAATTTTTATTTGTTAAAATTTGCCAGTATTCTAAGGTATGTCTGAATTAGAATGATATAATGAACCTCCAACACTTTATTACTAAATTTATATTGTCATTTACTTAATGCTGAAGAAACTTGGTGAATTTTGGAGCAAATTTCCCAACATTTTATTGTGAAAAATTTCAAACATGCAGAAAAGTTTAAAGAATCATATAGTAAATACCTGTGTACCCCATCTAGGTTCTTCAATTGACATTTTACTATACTTGCCTTATCGCATATCTGTTCATCCCTCCATCCCTCTCTCCCTCTATCTATTCATCCACCTGTCCTTCCTTCCATCTATCCATTTATCAATGCATCTTATTTTTTGATGCATTTTTAAATTAAATTGCAGATATCAGGATGCTTCCTCGTAAATACTTCAGCATTAATGAGAGTTTAGAATTTGTTTACAATTCTTTTAAAAAAGACACTCAAGTAAAACTTACATTCAATGAAATGTACAAGTCTTAAGTGTATACCATTCAAAGGGTTTTGGCAGAAGTGTAACTCAAACCCCTATCAAGATGCAGAACATTAATATCATTCTAGAAAGTTCTCTCATGCCCCTCCAGTCCATCCCTGCCCCCATTCCTCCAGGGGTAAACGCAACTTTTATGCTTTTTTCATGACGGGGTAGTTTTGCCTATTCTATAACTTCATATAAATGGAATCAAAGAGTCTACACTATTTTGTGTCTGGTTAATTTGCTCAACTTACTTTTGAGGTTCATCATGGTGATATGTATCAGTGAGTTGTTCCTTTTTATTGCTGAGTAGGATTCATGATACAAATATTTTACAGAGGATCCATTTTTCTGTTGATGAACCCTTGGGCTGTTCCAGTTTTGGGGTATTATGAATAAAGCTTCCACGATTATTCTCCTACAAATATTTTTCTGGATATATAATTTCATTCATCTTGGAGCGGAATTGCCAGGGTGGCTGAATGTTTAGCTTCATATGAAACTGCCAACCTTTTCCCCAAACATCTTAACTAAGTATAGCCACAAACAACTAAAATGTATTGAATGTTCTCTGTGGGTGCTGAGCATAGAGCCTTAATTAATGTATTTCATATGATTCTTACACCCAGACTATAAGGCAAATGTTATTTTGCCTGGGTAAAATGTCCCCATTTTACATGTGAGATAATTGAGGCACAGAGAGTTAAATAACTGCCCATGGTCACACAGCTAGTAAGCAGCTGAGCTTAGATTTGGATCTAGGCAGGTTGGACTCCAGCTCCTATACCTCATGCCTCCTAGAATATAGTAGTAAAAAAAGATGTGGCTGTTTCTTTTCTCAGGAAACTAATTAACTTCCTAAGAATAAAAAATTGGTCATGGCAACCAATTTTAACAAGAGATAGCTGGAGCAAGAATAACAAGAGATGCTGTGTTCATCAATAAACACGGTATAATGCAAATTCTCACCCACCATTTAGATGTGGTGTGTACGGTTAACACGGAGGTAGATAAATTCATTTATCAAGATCCCTTTACCCTCCTGAGAGGCTCCTCAAAGTTATTTATCTTCAAAGATGCCCATATCTCTATCCCTGCACAATCTATGTAGCTTCCTTTGAGAATAAGTGAAGGGTTAAACCACTTCAGAGTCTCTTTTTGGGCTGGCTAATAAGGGCATGATGCCTCTCCTCTGTAATTACCAGAGGAGCCTGAGGCTTATTGGAGAGGTGCATATCAGCTGTAATGAGGTAGGGCAGGAGAACATTCCCTCCCAGGATTTTTCTAAACTCAAAGAGGCTCAGTCTCAGGCCCAGACCTGTTTTGGAATATCTCTAGGAAACTTGAGGCAAGGAGGAGGACCACAGGGAACACAACTATTCTTTTGGGCTAAGAGCCCGCCTCTCATCTAAGACTCTTGACAGCCTAGGCCCCCTCTCTCATCTTTGAAAAGCTCTCTAAACCAGGGAAGTACTGAAAAAGGATGAGAGATTGGAGTTGTTGGTTAGGGACGGCTGGGGTCCCTGAGTCTTCTGAAAACAGATGTTAGGTCTACACTTTCATTCTGGCTTGTAAGCCAGGAGCCCATAAGAAAGCCAGAAGAGTAAGTGGTGGTTGGTGTCCCAAGGCTTTCCTTCTTCTTTTTAATGGTTCTGGGAAATATCTGAGTAATTCTACTTCTAGGGATACTCTTCTTGGGTCACATATTAGCCATCTTAATGGGTATATTTGTCAGGATCAAGTCCACGCTCCTCAGAATGGTGAATGAGGACACTGCCCAGGTGGACCTAGCCTCCCACCTGGCCCGCCACTCCTCCCTGTTCCCAGGTTTGAGGAATTGCTTGCTAGTCCCTGTGGGCACCACATTCCCATCCATTTGTTCCACTAGGAAGGACTTTGTTTCTCCCCTTTCCAGAATTCCAATTCATCCTTTAAGGACTGAATTTAAAAGTCAAGAATGTGGTCGTAATTTGCTTACTCCACCTTCCTATCTTCTATAATTTCCTCCAGGTAGAAATATTCAATGTATGTCTGAATTTTTCCTAGTAAAAACATGTGGACAGAAACTTTCGAATAAACAAATGCTTTATTTGATCATCTTAAAAGCTAAATTATTTGTTTTCCTTGCTTCACAGAATGCTAATTTCATCTTAGGTGAAAAAAAGATTTTTGCCTAGGCTGTTGAGAAAGACAACTTTTACAAATATTGACACATGCTCGTTGTCCCTTCTGTCTCCTGAGCCCCCAGTGAGTCTCCTACTGGCTAAGGTTTAGATACCCCCTAGAAATTAATTTTTGGGAAATGTGTACAGGGTTGGGACAGATGAGATTCTTTCAAAACTATTGGTATATCACAATTTTAAATGACAATCAGGATCATTCTCTGGAAAAGTTTTGAAAGAAAACGGTGTCTCCGAAAACTTTACTTTTCTTCTTTTTAATCTCCAGAACTCCTCTTCCTTTTCTTTCATTTGCCTAGACACAAATATAACTTAGGCCTTATGCAGATGCCTTCAGTTTTGGTCTAAGTCCTGCTGACTGGAGTCCAGAAAACTGTGAGGGGCAAACATGCTTTTTATTCAGCGTTTTCTCTTCTTAACCTTCTACCCTTGGCCTCTTCCTTACCCAGGGAGGGGAAGTGGTAGACCGTGGAGCCACTCCTGCTGACTGGAGGGAATTGGGCGTTGCAGGCACTAAGCCAGGAACTTGAACTCGTCTGAAAAGTGAGATCTGGGTAGCTGCTCCCCTTAGAGCAAGGCTGGCAGCCAGCTCACGGGCATTTGGATACCTGCGGGAGGGATTTCTGCTTCTGACAACAGGCAGTTTGTTCAGCTCTGCCTGCCCTGATTCCTCTCCTGTTGCTTTTCACTGCATCCCTGAGCTCTTTGGTAACTCCACCTCTCACCAATTTTTGCAATTCGCTGTAGACTTCAAAATCCTGGCTCTACCTTTCCTTCCTCTGTAGCTGCATTTCCCTGCAAAGTTGGAAGCCAACCAAGATCAGGTTTCCTTAACTCTTTCTCTTTCAGGCTCCTGGAGCTGAACTCTTCTGACCTACATACCAGAAAGGCTGTATCTTATCCTTCCTCACCACCATTTGAAAGGTTTCCCCAGCAGACGGATTTTTAGGTCCCTGTCTGACCTAGAAGCTGACAAAGGCGCCACACGCTGTTTTCAGAAACACTCACCATACTAACAGGTTTTCACCAGCACACAGCTGTTCTGCATTTGGGGCAGCGTCTGTTTTCTTAGTTCCAACACAATGGACTTTTGTGGTTGTCCACCTGTTTTTGCTCCATGCCTATGTCATCTTTCTCCTGCTGCTTTGTTTTCTGCACTTCCGTATTCTCCCTTCTTTTGGAAGAATTTTCTCTTTTCTTCCCTCTTTATGATGTTTTCTTTTTTTTCTACGCAGCCTGCCACCTTCTCTTGTTCCTGCCACTCTCTCTGCTCTGGGGTTCAGCTAGGAGATTTTCTGAGGGGCTGAAGAGTTTCTAGACTGCTAACCCAGGGATAAGGGCAATCTGTCTCTATTCAGGGTTAGGTTCCTGGCCCAGCCTACTTCTTAACTGCATGTGTAATCTTCATCCCCCTCCTACCGATGTTTCTGCGCTGCTTCATCCATCTGTAAGGATGACCCACCCTCTTTCCAGAGAAGGAGGCCCCTTTTCCTGTTTAAATTCCTCAAGTCTTTAGACTTCTCATTTAGCTGTCCTAAAAATGGCAGATGAAATCCGAGGCACAACAAAGTTATCATGAAAACCTTTTCTTTGAGAGCCGCCTGTCTGATTGTTCATATTAGCTGTTATTTGGTGGAAAGAGCACTAGACTTTTAAGAAAAGTTCTGGTTTTGCCACATAGTAGCTACGCAACCTTGGGCAAATCATTTACCTTCCTTGGGTTCTTAGCGTCCTCACTGGTAGAATGAGAACGCTTCGCAGGGCATTGTGGTGGTGAAAGAATCCGCAGGAGAGCACTTTGCAGATTGCTCTGGGTTGGCAGGGTGAGTGAGCAGGGATGGTGTCCTGATTTATCTTTAAACTCGAAAGGAATCAGACTCCCGTTTTGAAATTGTAGCGAATCCAGAATCCAGTCCTAGGTGAATGTGGCCCCAGGGTGGTGCTTTGAGAAGTGGAATCACTGCAAGCTAGTTTCAACATTCATTTCCCAGGTAAGCCTACAGCCTGTTTTAAAAGGGCGTGTGGGGGCCAAACCCATAACAGCCTGGGACATTTCAGACTGGCACCACCTCCTCTGGCTGTTTCCGAGGCCATCTAGAGGCCAGAGCTCTAACAGATTAACCGAGAGTAAAGAGAGGACTGGGGCAGTTTGGAACCTTTGTGCAGACGTGCTCGTGCTCGTAGTGTAGAGGGCGGGAGAGAGGAAAGGAAGGAGGGCATTAGGAGCTGGGGCCCCACCTTTCATTTCAGAAAACTGCGCAGGCAGAGCCGGCTGCGTCACAGGCACAGGTGAGGAACTCAACTCAAACTCCTGTCTGGGAAAACGCGGTGCTCGCTCCTCCCGGAGTGGCCTTGGCAGGGTGTTGGAGCCCTGGGTCTGCCCGGTCTGGTCTCTGGGGCCAAGGCTGGGTTTCCCTCATGTATGGCAAGAGCTCTACTCGTGTGGTGCTGCTTCTCCTTGGCATACAGCTCACAGGTAAGAGCCGGCGGGCTTCTCTGAGCATTTCCTCCTTGACTGCCCACTCTATAAAGTTTGCTAATTGTCTTAGAAGTTGCAAGACTTTTGTTTGGGAGCCTGAGCCACGGTTGTAGTTTGTTTTACTTTGGATTTTACTGAAACCAAAGTCGGTGGACTGTTTTTGGAGACTTGTTCTTGGCCGAACAGGTTTAGGTGTGTTCAGCTGCCAGTGATTCAGGCACAGAGAGGGCTTTCTAATCTCAGGTTACATGCCAGGTTTTTTTTGTGTGAGTGGCTGCTCTCAACCTCCTGCTGCCGGCAGGACTTGGCAGTTGGATTTCTGTGTGTGGGTCTTGTCTGGGACTCTCAGCAACACCAGCAAAGTGGAGATTGTTACACAGAGACCTACTGTGGTTTTAAAGTGCCCCAACACGCACATTCTAAATGTAAATATCAAGGTTAAAAAAAAATGCCACGTGGTATAAAAGGTTCCAGGAGTGCAGGCAAACACAGCTGTCTGGAGTTGATTAATTCAATTTCTTCAATAGACTAGTAAAAGTAAGGAATCCACGTAAGGCCCCATCTGGAAAACTTACCCGCCAGGAGATCACTTTACATACAATACATAATGCTTAACCTTAATATATAATGTAATGTGTAATCAATGTTATGATTCATTTTAAATTTGTTTATTCTTTCAATTCTATTCGCGGATGTTTGTAGTTTGTTATGACAGTTAAGTCAGTACCACGAGGCGAGGCTATTATGCTATGGAGAAAGTAAGAGCACTACGAAGGCTTGCTGTGTGATGTTTCAGTCGTCACATGGAATGGGAGCGCCCAGGTTGCATATGAGTAGGAGTATGTAGATTCTGGGTGAAGTAAGTTTGGGAGCTGGGGCATCTCAGTTTCACTTTACTTTAAGTCCTACTCAGATATTTATTTTGGAAGTGTCAGCAGAAGTTCTTACAATACTACATTCCCTGTTAACCCTTCTTTTTCTTCTTTTTCACTGCAGCTCTTTGGCCCATAGCAGCTGTGGAAATTTACACCTCCCGGGTGCTAGAGGCTGTTAATGGGACAGATGCTCGGTTAAAATGCACTTTCTCCAGCTTCGCCCCTGTGGGTGATGCTCTAACAGTGACCTGGAATTTTCGTCCTCTAGATGGGGGACCTGAGCAGTTTGTAAGTAGATTATTGTCATTTTCCAGGGGACCCTTGGTTAGGGAAATAATAAGCCAGTCCATTTCTCCTTTCCCTTCCAGTATTTTTCTTAGCAGCAAGCACAAGTTTAAGCTGGGAAACAATTCTTGGGAAGGAGACTGAGAGGCCGTTGAAGGGGAAAGCAAGTGACAGAGCTGCAGACAGGAAAGTTGGGTTTGCTGATGTTTCACTTCTGCTCCTACCATCTTGGCCTCCTTGCCCAGGTACTGAATAAGAAAGACCTTTTGCCATTTCCCCTCTCTAGGTATTCTACTACCACATAGATCCCTTCCAACCCATGAGTGGACGGTTTAAGGACCGGGTGTCTTGGGATGGGAACCCTGAGCGGTACGATGCCTCCATCTCTCTCTGGAAATTGCAATTTGACGACAATGGGACATACACCTGTCAGGTGAAGAACCCACCTGATGTTGATGGGGTGATAGGGGAGATCCGGCTCAGCGTCGTGCAAACTGGTAGGTTATGCAGGGAACAGTGGTTTTGGAAAGGATGTGAGTTTGTAGAAAAGAAAGGGGCAATCTTTTGTGATGGCCGAGAGAGACGGACGGTCTTTTGTGATGGATAGAGAGAGGGACTAGCCCTTCAGAACTGGGAGCCTCAGAGGGAGACTGAAGAGTCCTGGGGTAAAAAGAGAAAGGCTTTGTTTGGCTGTGGAAATAAACAGAAAGTAAAGCAAAGGAACTCAGAATCTGTTACAAAAATGGCATTGAGACCGTGAAAGGGAGAGGAAGCAATTCTTTGATAAAAGGCTTACAATAGGTCTGTTCACTCACTCGTTTATTCAAGATACGTATTGAGTAACTACTGTAATGCCAGGCACTGTCAAAAGTGCATGACATACGCTATCTCATTTAAACCCCACACTACTCTAGGAGGCAGGGACTGATAATGGTAGTTAACACTTACTACTTCCCAAATGTCAGGGGCTTTACACGACACGTTTTATTTAATCTTTACATACCTCATCAGCTTATTGTGCATTTAGTGCCTCCCATCTTGCCAGTGAGGAAACAAAGCTCACAGAGGTTAAATCACTTTCCCTGAGTCATGTAGCTGATAAATGGAGTAACTTAGGACTCAGACCCAATCACCTTTGAATCTAAAACTGTGCTCTAAACTGGTGCCTTGTATTGTCTGCATCCCCATAAAGGACAATCTGGAAAACCATGCCAAGTAACAAAGAGCAAAGTACACGAAACTTACGAGTTGTAGATCTGGGTTTGAGTCATTGCTACCATTTACCAGCTATCAAGAAGTCTTATTTTCCTCATCTGTAAAGTGAGAATACACAGTGAGGATCACGGTGAGGATAAAATGAGATAATAAATGTGAATGTGTCCCAACCTCTGAATTGTACTTAATAGCTACCGTACATTGTTTATTTTGCACAGGCACAGCATGGAACAATTTACAGGAATTATTTTATGTTTTATTAAGAACTCAAGGGATGGATATCATTATCTCTGTTTTACACATGAGGAAACTTGAGGCCCAAAGAAGTTAATTACTTCAAATCACACAGCTAGGTATTTCAACCTAGTGCTCTCTGGTGTGTGCTCTTAACCAACGCACAGTATTACTACTCCAAACATATAAGCCTGTGAAGTGGTATGATTCCCTTTCGTTCATAGCACAGTTTAAAACCATTTCTCAACGCCCTACCAATAGGGGGCTGTGTGACCTTACAGAAAGCGTTTGAGTATTGAAAGAAATAATGTAATAGTTTGAACCTCAGTTTCTTCATCTGCAAAATGAACAGGTAAAACAAACAAAAAATCAATGGTTCTTAAACATATGTGGATAATTATTCTTAGAGATTAATAAAATGAAAGCCATGGTCCTGCTTCCCCTAAAACAATGGAGACATACACAATGAGACAGGGCCTCTGTGGGCTTGTAGATTACCTTCCATCCTTCTTCCCCATCCTCCTTCATGGACTCAAGGCTGGGAATCCTAGGCTAGACATTCTCTAATGTCCTTTCTGGCTTTGAGGGCTTATTGAAGTCTAATCAGAAATCAAGCTAAGGGACCACAGAACCAGGGTTCACAGACTCTACTGTGGCTTAGGGGCTCCTCCCTCTGGTTTCCCTTTTCTGTCATTTATCCACTAGACTGTAGTTACTGATTTACTTTCCTATCCTCTCAGCGGCATGAGCTCCTTGAAGGTGATGTCTTTTTGGCTTTGCATTTCTATCACAGTGCCAAGAACGTAGTAGGCCCTTAATAAATCTGAATAAATGACTGATGGAGTGAAAGTGATGAGAAGTCAGGGAGAAATGGGTTGGGCACTAGGTTTGATGAGGTTAGCAATAACCTTACCCCATAGGTAGTTCAACCCACCCAATGGTTTTCAAAACTACATCGGAATCACCTGGAGGACATGTTAAAACAGATTGCTCAGCCCCACTCCTGGCGATTCTAATTCAGTAGATCTGGGGTGGAGCCTGAGATTTCTAAGTTCTTAAGTGTTGCGTTTACTTCGAAGACCACACTTTGAGAACCACTAAAGTATCTGTATGGTTTTCCTATTGCTAGTAGGGTTTACAAGGTAATATAGTATATTATGTCATTAGATTTTATTGTAGTCCTCCTCTTTTCAGAATCCTAACCTAATCTTTTTCTCCTTACAGTACGCTTCTCTGAGATCCACTTCCTGGCTTTGGCCATTGGTTCTGCCTGTGCACTGATGATCATAATAGTAATTGTGGTGGTCCTTGTCCAGCATTTCCGGAAAAAGCGATGGGCTGAAAGAGCTCATAAAGTGGTGGAGATAAAATCGTAAGGCTGGGCAGTTCTGGGAAAGTTCTAACAGTCTAATGGTGACTCTTGGTATTCTGCAACGGGGCTAAATAGTTGCTGAACAGATGTTCTTCCCTTTAAGTTAATCCTATATAAAAGAATTCACATTTGCAGGACAGACAAATTAGGTATGAACTAGTAACTTTACAAAAGGTTTCTTTACAAAAATTTCCTTATGGGATTTACTATGTGTGTGGGGGGGTTGATTTTATAAAAATCTGCGTATGTAAAGCTTTTCTAAAAAACCCCTTATGTTTAGAGTGAAACATACATTTATAGACTTTTTTTTTTTTTTTCTGAGATGGAGTTTTGCTGTTGTTGCCCAGGCTGGAGTGCAGGTGTGATCTCGGTGCACCACAACCTCTGCTTCCCAGGTTCCAACAATTCTCCTGCCTCAGCCTCCCAAATAGCTGGGATTACAGGCATGCACCACCACGCCTGGCTAATTTTCTATTTTTAGTAGAGACAGGGTTTCTCCATGTTGGTCAGGCTGGTCTCAAACTCCTGACCTCCTGATCTGCCCAGCTTGGCCTCCAAAGTGCCAGGATTACAGGTGTGAGCTACCTCGCCCGGCCAAAGGGAAGCATACATTTGTAAAAACCACTGGTCTAGGCAGTCAGCAGGGTCACTATGAGTCAGTGCCTACAAAAGTCTGTTGTGCTGATAACAGGTGTTCATTAAATGTATTTTAAAATTGAGATAAAACTTACGTGCCATAAAATTCACCCTTTTCAGGTTCATAAAGTTGTGCAACAATCATAACTAATTGCAGAATCTTATTAAGCTCCCTCCCCTAAAGAAACCTCATATCCCTTAGCTATCCCTCCCTATTATCCCCTCCCACCAGCCCCTGACAACTACTCATCTACTTTCCATCTCTATGGATTTGCTTATTCTGGACATTTCATTTAAATAGAATCATATGATTTTATGCCTTTTATGCCCAGCTTCTTTCACTTAGCATAATGCTTTCAAGGCTCATCCTTGTTACAGTATGTATTAGTACTTCTTTCCTTTTTATAACTGCATAATATTGCATTGTGTGAATATACCACATACTGTTTATCCATTCATCAATTGATGGGCATTTAGGTTTTTTTCAACTTGTTGGCTAATGTGACTAATGCTGCTATAAACATTCATTTACAAGCTTTTATGTAGACCATATGCTTTTAATTCTCCTAAAAGTGGAATTGTTGGGTCCTATGGTAGCTCTGTTTAGTTTTTGGAGGAATTGCCAGACTGTCCCAAAACAGCTGGACTATTTTGCATTCCCATCAGCAAGATATGAGGGGACCAATTTCTCCACATCCTCCTCAACACTCATTATTGTCTTTTTTATCATAACCATGTATTAGGCCATTCTTGCATTGCTATAAAAAGAAACACCTAAGACTGGGTAATTTATAGAGGAGATTTAATTGGCTTATGGTTCTACGGGATGTACAAGCAAGGTGCTGACATTGCTTGGCTCCTGGGGAGGCCTCAGGGAGCTTTCACCCTTGGCAGAAGGCAAAATGGGGCCAGGCATTTCACAGGGTGAGAGGAGGAGCAAGTAAGTGAGTTTGGGGGAGGTGCTACACACTTTTAAATGAACCGATGTTGTGAGAACTGACTCACTATTGAAGACAGCACCAAGACATGAGGGATCTGCCCCCATGATCCAAACACGTCCCACCAGGCCCCAACCTCCAGCAATGGAGATTACAGTTCAACATGAAATTTGGGCAGGGACAAATATCCAAGCTAATCAAGCCATCTAGTGGAGGTCAAGTGGTATCTCATTGAGGTTTTGATTTGCATTTTCCTAATGACTTGATGTTGAGCACCTTCTGATGTTCTTATTGGCCATTTGTATATCTTATTTGGAGATGCATACATTCAGAGTTTGCGCATTTTAATATGGGGTACCTTATTTGACTTACTCTTATAAAGCTGTAAGAGTTCTTTAAGGGATACTAGTTCCCTATCAGATATACAATTTGCAATTACTTTTTCCCATTCTGTGGATTGTCTTTTCATGTTCTTCACAATGTCCTTTGAAGAATAAAAGTTAAATTTTGATGAAGTCCAGTTTATTTATTTTTTCTCTTTTGCTGCTAGTGCTTTTATCTCATTTAAAAAACCATTGCCTAATCCCCAGATAATGCAGGTTTCTGGCTGTGTTTTTTTCTAAGAGTTTTATAGTCTTAATTTTTACATTTAGATCTTTGATTTATTTTGAGTTCATTTTTGTATATGGTTGAGGCAGAAGTCCAGATTCAGTCTTTTGCATGTGGTTCCAGCACCATTTATTTCATTTCCTTAATAAACATTTACTGAAATAAACAGAACTGATTTTTTTTTTTTTTTTTTTTTTTGAGATGGAGTTTCACTCGTTGCCCAGGCTGGAGTGCAATGGCACGATCTTGGCTCACTGCAACCTCTACCTCTTGGGGTCAAGTGATTCCTCTACCTCAGCCTCCCAAGTAGCTGGGATTACAGGCATGTACCACCAAGCCTGGCTAATTTTGTAATTTTAGTAGAGACAGGGTTTCACCATGTTGGTCAGGCTGGTCTCAAACTCCTAACATCAAGTGATCTGCCAGCCTCGGCCTCCCAAAGGACTGGGATTACAGGCATGAGCCACTGTGCCCAGCCAACCAGAACTGATTTTAAGAAGCCTAAACAAACCCAACTCTGAGGTTTATAGTTTGAATAGAATCAATAAAGATGACTTAGGTCAACATAAAACTTTTTTTATTTTGAATAATATAAATTAGAGGTGGGATACTAATGGTAAAATAAGGTGTTTTCTTTAAAACTCTGGAGTTCCCAGTCAGAATGCAAACTGTATTCCCTTATATTCTGAAAATTGTCTTAAGTTCAGAGGTGTGAATATTAGTAATTAGATATCTCCAGTTTAGCTCTGTGTAAGCTTCAATCTACTCCCAAGTGCATATGATTGTTTCGAAAGTATAGGGGAAAAATACCTTACTGGAAGCTTCTGTAGGATTTGCCTACTTGCTTCTTGTCTTGTTCACCTGACGTGTGGTTTCTGCTTCTTTGTTACAGAAATGAAGAGGAAAGGCTCAACCAAGAGAAAAAGGTCTCTGTTTATTTAGAAGACACAGACTAACATTTTTAGATGGTAAGGTTCACAAATATGTTGATTTCTTTCCTCAGCTTTCTGATGCGTCCAGCCCATCTCTAATGAGGATCTCCCAGATCACTTGACAGTTAGGGGTTTCTCATATGAAATTAGAGGAGCTGGATCAGGGAGACAAAAGTCTTCTATTACTCTTATGGAAGCCTCCTCCTTTGAGTGTATTTTGTGCAAAGGATTAAGAAGCTGGACTCTACTGCCATTAAAGCTGAGAGAATTCTAAGGTTTTTTTGTGGCTTCGGGATTATATTTATTACCACTAATAATAAAAAATATTCAACATGTAAATCTTTTTTAAATCAAAAGATTATTATCTGCTTATTCTTATTTCTCAATCATGGTATTAAGAGAGTGACTCAATAGATATATCTGGCATTTTTTTAAAGGAGAACTTTTGTACTATTTGGAATTGATTTCAACTCCTCTTATTTAGTTATTGGTATTAATAGCTACATAAAATGAATCCAGTTTCAGTAGTATATAACTTTATTTTTCCAGTTTTCAGGTTCATCAGGCTTAAAAAGTAGGATAATTTATTTTTCATTTCTTTGTTTTTGAGACAGGGTCTCAATCTGGCACCCACGCTGGAGTACAGTGGTGCGATCTTGGCTCACTGCAACTTCTGCTTCCCAGGCTCAAGGGATCCTCCCACCTCAGCCTTCCAAGTAGCTGGGACCACAGGTGTATGCCACTACACCCAGCTAATTTTTGTACTTTTTGTAGAGACAGGGTTTCGCCATGTTGCCTAGGCTGGTCTCAAACTCCTGAACTCAAGCGATCCACCTGCCTCAGCTTCCCAAAGTGCTGGGATTATAGGTGTGAGCCACCATGCCTGGCCAATTTATTTTTCATATGCTCAGCATTTCTCCCATTTTCTGAAATAGGTCCACACATTTAATTTCTAGATGTTATAAATCCAGACATGCAAACTTAAATTGTATACTCATAAGAAAGGTCTTGATATTAATGACTTTATCCTGTAAAACTCTGGCTCTCTTACATGGGAGAAAATTATAGAGGGTCACATTTTTTATAGGCTAAAGCTCCAGTGAAAGACCTCAAAGACTTATAAAATAGAATATGGAGAAAAATGACTGTATTGTAAAACCAGAAAACCAAATTTAACATAAGAGAGTTTTTACCAGCCAATGGCTATTGTCTCTTTAAAATTAAAGGGATTCTCTAACTAGTTGGGGTCATGGAAAATAAATATGGGAGACGTTTTAGATCGAAAGAAACTTAAGAGACAAACACAATCAAAGTGCAATGTGTGATCCCCAACTGATGAATAATAGTGTGAACAAACTAGTTGTAAAAAAAAGCCTTGGAGGGGCAATTGGGAAAGTCTTGAATATGAAAATGTTAACTACATGGATAACATTAGGGAATTATTGTTAGCTTTTATGAGGTCTAGTAATGGTATTGTAGTTATAAAGAAAACGTACCAATTTTGAAAAATGATTACTGGAGTATTTAGGGTTAAATGTCAGCAATTTGCTTTAAAAGCTTAGGGAAAAAAGCAAATAAAACAAAAAAAGGCTTCAGAATTAGGTGATGGGGAGAGGAGGTGAGAAAAGAAAGAATTAATAAATGTAGGGGATGAGTAAATTCCACATGCTGTCTTCTCTACTTTTCTGTATGTCTGATTTTGTTTGTAACGAGAGAGAGAAGTGGGGAGGATATGGAATGTATGCATGTGAGCAAGTTGTGGATCATCCAAGTGTCCATGCAAGGTACTTAGAGGCTACAATTTAAGGATACTAACTCTGAAAATCATGTAATAAGGATTAGGAAACTTCTTTTAAAAATTAAATTGGGGGAGAATATGAATATTTTCCTTCAGAATGAAGATCTAATAACATATGTAATTCATAATGCCAAGTATTCCTGTTGCACTCTTTTCGAATATATTATTCATGTAAACTTTTGTGTTTTAGGAAGCTGACGATTTCTAAGAACAAGAACCCCAGTATTTCTTGAAGTTAACGGAAACTCTTCTTTGGCTTTTCCAATTGTGGCCCATTTTCCAATCAGTTCTGCAGCATGTGCCTAGACAAGCAACATACCTCTGGAGCCAGCACAGTGCTCTTCCATATCACCAGTCATATACAGCCTCATTATTAAGGTTTTAATTTCAGAGTGTAAATTTTTTCAAGTGCTCATTAGGTTTTATAAACTAAGAAGCTATATTTTTGCCCTTAAAACACTGTAGTGTTATGACTTGTATGCACATATATTGGTATCAAAGGGCATAAAAGCCAGTTTGTCTGTCATAGTATTTCCTTTTACATTTCTTTTAGCAGCGCTCCTGCTACTAAAGTTAATGTGTTTACTCTCTTTCCTTCCCATATTCTCAGTTAAACGGTGAGTTAAGTCTCCTAGGTGTTTTTGATTAACAGTAAATCCTAAATTCAAACTGTTACATGGCATTTTGATTTTTATGTCTCTCCTTAACTATGAGGCGCATCTTATTTTATTGAAATTTTTTCAATACTCCAGGTGATCAATTTAGTTGTTATGTTAATTAATCCAAGATTTACAATAGCACAATGCGAAATCACACAGTAACTACAAAAGATTACATAAATAGGAAAAGATTGGCAGATGACATTGCGGGATGAATCACTTGTCACTTTTCTTTTGTGCTGTGAAAAATAATCAACAATGTGGGTCTTTCATGAGCAGTGACTGACTGTTTAGCTTACTATGTTTTCCCCCACAATTCAATGATCTATAACCGAGCAAAGTCTATGCTCATTTGCAGACTGGAATCATTAAGCAGTTTAATAAAAAGATTCTAAAATAGTATATTACAACTTTGAAAATTCAGGGCTGGTGAAAAAATATCAACTCTAAATGATGATAATTTTGTACAGTTTATATAAAACTCCGAGAACTGGAAGAAATTATTAACTTTTTTCTTTTTCTTGATTTTTTTTTTTTTTTTTTTGTTTTAATTCACTTTTTTTTTTTGGGGGAGGAAGACTTTGGTATGGAGCAAAGAAATACCAAAACTACTTTAAATGGAATAAAACCAGCTTTATTCTTTTTTTTCCCTCTGTACTGGTAGATAAAGCAAACTTTATAAGTGGACTACTGAAAGAAAAGTGCCTTTTGAAAGTGTTTAGCTTCCCGGTGTCTTTCCAAGCTTAAAATACAGAAGCATTTGTTCAAAGGATAGAAAACATCTAAAAGTTTAGGCTCAAGATCAATCTTTACAGACTGATATTTTCAGTTTTTAGGCTGCAGATGTTATTTCTTTTAACAAAATGGAATTTTCAAATAGATTATCTGTATTTAAAGGTATGGACCTTGATATTTTTCCAATACTATTTTAAAAAAATTTGTATGATTTACATATGAAACTCAATTCTGAAATTCATTACATAGCTCATTCTGCCTTTTATACTGTCTAAAAAAGCAAAGTTTTAATGCAGTTTTAAACTGTGCAGTTTAAATGCACAGTAAATTACATCTGAAGGCTGTATTTCCTTTAATCACATTTTATATTTTTTCTTCACAATTCTAACCTTTGAAAATATTATAACTGGATATTTCTTCAAACAGATGTCCTAGATGATGGTCCATAAGCATAATGAAGAAGTAGTTAAAAATGTACAGACAGTTTTTCCAGCAAAATTTGTAGCTGATGTCTTGGCTAAATAGTCAAGCAGTAATATGGGCCCGTTGTTTAGTGTCTCCTTCCTAAAGAGCACTTTTGTATTGTAATTTATTTTTTATTATTCATTAAACACTATGTAAATAAATTTTAGTAATAAAGAATGATGAATTATGTAATTTGTGTATATACATATCTAAAAGTTCTACACTGCAGGGGAAACAGATGGATATATATTTTATCTTTACTGAAAAGTTTTCTTAGTAGAGACAACCTAGAAGTCAACAATGGAGAAGTATACGGATTTCCACAGAATTTTCACATTGCTTTGGATAGCTGGGAATTGGGCACAACAATACTAGTTAGTTTGAGGGCTCTTTCAAAGAACAGTATAAAAGATTCCATTTAGTACTTTGCTAAACTAGTTTTAATAGGGAAAACTACTGGGTTTCAAGTCTGGTAAAGGAATAGAAATTGAAAAATGGAAAGTTATTAATTTTTCTCCAAAGCGAAAGCATCCTTTTATTCTCCTACTGCTTTCACTGACGTGGCAATTCCCAGGGAAGAGGCTTACTGATTATTAAAGCAGCCTACTTATTGTACCATCTCTTATTCAGAAGTATATGACACCATCTCACTTCAGGTACTTTGATAACATAAGTTTTTTGCTTTTCCAACCAAAGATACACAAATCCCAGTTTCCCTTTTTCTCTAACACAGGCTGTAATGATTTGATCATCATTGCCATCGCCAAAAGTAACTTAATAAACACTCAATTCTGGATGCTGTACTAGCTGTACTAAAAAGAGCAGGAACCAAAGATGCTCGTGGTATATATTACTACCACAAGCGCCTAATACATATTTATCTATGTTGTATGATCTCCCAGGTGTTTCTGAACTCTAAATTTACGGGAGTGTATTCTGAGAACCTTCAACTAAAATAATCTCGAGATGTAAAAACCATGTCTGGAATGCAGTCAGAGCATCACAATTATTTAGTTCTGCATAAAACAAAATTGTAAAGATTCCAAGTTTGTAACCTACTTAATTTTCAAGCAAAAGAGAGCAATTAGCTTCCAACTGAAAGGTAGCGAATCGGGGCCACTGAAACCAGGTGTGGTTCTGGAAAGAAGCCAGGTTCCTATGGTAACTTCGGATCGTTAAGTTGTCGCACTGCCTCCTGCTGACGTCACTTCCGGTGTTACCTGTGTCGTTACTGGGAGCTGTAAACAAGGTGTGCAAGCATCTGAAGAGCTGGCGGGATGCAGCAGAGCGGAGCGGCTGGAGGCCGTGGCTGCGCTCTTTTCCCTGTGCTGGGCGTCCTGTTCTTCCAGGGTGAGTGCTGTGGCTGGCTGCGCTCCACTTCCGGCTGCGGGGTTAGGGAAGATGGTCGCTTTTCCGATTCCGGGCGGGGAGGGTCTCCGGAAAGCTCCCGGAACGCTCGGGGATGGAAGGAAGGAAGGAGGGAGCAGGACGTGGGGAGGATGACGTCACCACCCCGCTGAGGGGTGTTGGTATTTTGTCAGTCTTTTCCTGAGCTTTGGGAGCTTGACCACCTTGTGTGACTTTTGTCATTGTAGTTTGGTGATGACATAACTTGATGGAACCACAAAGAGCTCTGGCTTTGGTGGCACCCGGTGTTATTTTGTGATGAGACTGTCAGTGATTGACATCTGCGGTTTGGGGACTGTATACCCTGATTAGAAAAAAGGCAGGTCTAGCATTCAGTAGTTTGTTCCAATAGTTTTGAGAAACAAAATCATGACCGTTGGTAATTTTATTTTTTGTAGGTGATTATTGTGGTCTCTAAAATGAAATATTTGTTAGTCACAGAAGGGATGTGATGTGATTCATTATAGGGAAGCATATTGATGAAAAAGCAACTGATTTAGCATTTTAATAACTTTTTAGTCTCACAAGATCTGATTTTTTTCCTTTTTTTAAATAACTTTTTAATACAAGAAAGAACATATAAATTCTGTTAAAAATTAATCTGTTAGCTAATATCAGAAGTAGGGTGTTCATACTGACATTCACATCTTAAAATTTAGGTGAGTTTTGCTTTCATATAATTTTCAAATTGGGTAAATTTCAATCCAACCTAATTACCTTCATTTTAAGGTACAATTATTTTCTGGATTTTGTGTATGTGTGCCTTCCTGGGAAATAAAATATTAGTATATCTAGCATTAGAGTGAATTGCTAACTTTATACAATTTCCTTGAGGGTAATGGGGATTTCTGAAAGAGATATTTAATTTATATAAAGACTTTAAAGACTTCAGGTGTTCTAAATCTTAGCAGATAGGGCTGGAAAGTTTTTAACTGATGACTAATATTCATGTTGCCAGCACACCCCTGATCCCTCCCAGCTGCCTGTGTCATCATAAGTCTCCTGTTTTTTAGCTAAATTATTTTGCAGTATGGTATTTAGGCTGGTTTACTGTCACTCCTAATAAACCCAGTTCTCTCTCTTACACACACACACACACACACACACACACACACACACACACGAGAAATATTCAAATATTGTCTTATTGAGAAAAAATCTGGAAATGGACTTAATGTCATTTTGCTTTGAAAAGCATCTGTCAAGTTCAGCAGAGCATATAATTCAATCAAACACTAAAAGTGGATTTTATGATCTTGATATACTTGTGGAATAGATTTTTTGCCTTTTTTTCTTTTTTCTTTCTTATTTTTAATTTTTCCCCAAAATTTGATGTCAGATTTTTTGCCTTTTAAAAAATTACTGGTGGCTGCGTAGTGGCTCCTGCCTGTAATCCCATCACTTTGGAAGGCCTGAGGTCAGGAGTTTGAGACCAGTCTAACCAACATGGTGAAACTTCATCTCTTCTAAAAAGTTTTTTTAAAAAAATTAGTCAGGTGTGGTGGCAGGTGCCTGTAATCCCAGCTACTCGGGAGGCTGAGGTAGGAGAATCACTTGAACCTGGGAGGTGGAAGTCACGGTGAGGTGCGATAGTGCCATTGCACTCTAGTCTGGCCAACAAGGGTGAAACTCCGTCTCAAAAAAAAAAAAAAAAAAAAATGAAAAAACTGGTTTATCGTATTATTCACATGCGATACAATTTACTCTTTCTTTTTCTTTTTTCCCCTTTTTTTCAAGCCTGCAGATGATCAAACAATTTACTGTCTTAAAGGGTATAATTGAATGGTTTTTAGTATATTCACAGTTATACAATCATTACTATAATCAATTTTAGAACATTTTCCTGATTTCAAAGAGAAACCTGATACCTATTAACAATCACTTCTCATTCCCCATTTCCCTTAGCTCCTGGCAACCACCAGTCTATTTTTTGTATCTATGGGTTTGCCTATTCTGGACATTTCATATAAATAGAATAATGTCTGTAATCCCAGTACTTTGGGAGGCTGAGATAGGTGGATCATTTGAGGTCAGGAGTTTGAGACCAACCTGGTCAACATGGTGAAACCCCATCTCTACCAATCAATCAATCAATCAATCACTGGGGGTGGTGGCATGCCCCTGTAATTCCAGATTGTTGGGAGGCTGAGGCAGAATAATTGCTTGAACCCAGGAGGCAGGAGTTGCAGTGATCTGGGATTGCACCACTGCACTCCAGCTTGAGCGATGGAGTGAGACCCTGTCTCAAAAATAAAATAAAATAAATAAAATAAATAAAAAAAGTGGAATCACACAATATGTGCTTTTTGGTGACTGGCCTTTTTCACTTCTCATGTTTTAAAGGTTCATCTATTTTTTTGGTCTTTTAAATCTGTTATGTGGTAGATTTTGGTTTCATATCAGTGTTTATTTGCCTTTCTTTTTTGAAGATAAGGCCACTTAAATTATTAGATTATTTGAATTCTCCTTAAGTTATAAGTCTAGTCCTGCTATATCAGTTATCTAAGTATTTAGAAATGGTAGACTAGAAGGCCTAGGCTTCTTAAACTTTTTGTATTTTTACGTAAGTGTACAATAATATGAATAAAAAATCAGCAGATTTATATTTTAGAAAATGAGGCATACAAAATTGGGGGCTTTATTGACACATTTAATTCTTCCATGTGTAAAATTACTTACGTTAAAATGTGATTTTCTTGTTTTTCCCCCAGACTAAAAAATTTTTGTTATTATAAATATTTCTATAGTTGGGCTGTTTTTACCTGGCAAGAATGCTTTTCTGCTCAGGTGAAAAGATAAGGATGTTAGGCCTAGGATGGACCTTTCTGAATGAATTAATGTTGGATTGGAATTTTTAACAAGAGAAGGAGACAACCTATATTACATCCATTGATTTTAAGACACTTTTAATTGCAGGTATTATAAGTGTATACAGCTCAATGAATTTTCAGAAACTGAACACACATGGGTAACTAGCACCCAAATCAGGATATATAGAATGTTCCTCGAATTTCAAAAGCCTTCCTTTGTGCTTCCTTCCAGTCATTATTCCTTTTCCCCAAAAAGGAGTCAACATCCTGATGTCTAACAGTATAGAATAGTCATCCACGGATGAACTAAACTATTACTCTCTTATTTTTCTGTAACTATATAATTAAGACCCACGTATCCAGTATTTAGATTTCAACTAAGTGACTTTAAATGTTGATAACTTTGTGGCACAATCATGCTCATAAATATGGAGTTCAAATATATTAACAAGGAAAAAGTTAGTAGGTAGGTGTGTTTACTGATGGTGTACTTACTATAATTTAGCGAACAAAATTTGGTTTATAACCAAAAATTACTATAATTTAGTAACCAGAATATATAATTTTAATGTTTATTTTGTAATTTTTTTTATAAAAAGGAAACTGGGCTGGGCGTGGTGGCTCACACCTGTAGTCCCAGCGCTTTGGGAGGTCAAGGCAGGTGGATCATGAGGTCAGGAGCTGAGACCAGCTTGGTCAATATGGTGAAATCCTGTCTTTACTAAAAACACAGAAGAATTGTTTAAACCTGGGAGGTGGAGGTTGCAGTGAGCCGAGACTGTGCCACTGCACTCTAGCCTGGGTGACAGAGAGAGGCTCTGCCTCAAAATAAATAAATAAATAAATAACCCCCAAAAACACAACTGTTTGTTTTTTCTACTTGAATAAATATTGCTAAACATCCACAATATGCTAGGCTCTGTTTTGATGGGCTCAGGATCTATTGGCGATGACATAAGTCAACAGATGAT